ACTGCATTTGTTCTCTGCCTCCTGCGAAAGTGTATTACAAGAAAAATCCGGTGCAGATCATAAGAGTATTGGCAAGGCAGAAATCACAATATGAAAGCATATAACAAATAAATGGCAGCTAAGGAAGCTAACCAGACATGGAGACACTGCTCTGTTAAAAGTAGACATGATGAACAATTATATGAAGCTGTATCCCTTAGAAATTTGAGAGATGTTTCTATAAAAAAAAGATGCCATCTGTAAACTTACAATTACTTACACCAGTAGTAAAATCACATTGGTCCCAAGAATGTGAGAAGCCTTAGTGCTTGGGTTAAGTCCTGTTTTATTTTCATGAATTACAATTTGTACAACCGCAAGCATACAGATGTATGAAGTTGCATCTGAGAGAATTTGTTGCTTTTTGCTGTACGAGTTAGGATGAATCTTAATGGTTATTTCCATGGGAATGCACAGTGCCAGTGCCCTAATTCCACAAAGTCTGACTATGCATGCTCAAAATCAAATACAAGATTTCCACAGTGGAATAAAATTATCTATGTGCCTACTTAGATGTGTACTTTAGGGCTTTGTTGAACATAGGCCTAGATATTTCAGCTTGCTGAAGATGCTTTTCTTTTCAGCAGATCACTAGTAAAAATTTTATCTTTATTTTATTAAAAAGTATTCAGAACTTTTCTACATATCGGATACACTCAGATGCATCTATTTTTTCCCCTTGTCTTAAGTACAATAGGAACATGAAATATTGTCCTGTTAATATATATATTCTAAATTAATTTCCTCTTACTACCATAAACCATTATTTAAAATAGAAGACATTTGAATAGCAAAATATGTTAAAATTCTAAACAAAAGATATCAGGAATCGATCATCTTTAAATTAAAAATAATGAAATATTGATCTCTGGAGAATCACATCAAGATTTATTCAATCAAAGGGCATGTATTAATGAAAGCAAAACTACCTAACATAAGCTGCTGACCAGTCATATATATAAATGACTACATAAACAATTTGTTAATTACTGCAGGGAGTGGCATTACAATGGAAATCTGCAGAAACAGTGCATCTGAAATATCTCACTGAGTCTGCTTGTCTACTGCCTCGTAACAATCCTTGATCAACGTGCTTAGTTTGCATATTAAAATGATATATGTATATTCACAAATGTAATTTAGTTACTACCTCAGTAATTCCTGTATTAGCCACATAGAAAAATGGAAGATCATCACAGAAAATATATAGGGATAGATTCATTTCACTGTGCATGTGATTAACACCTGTAGGTTAGATTCTCCACTGGTTTTTATACACAATATAGCTCCTTTAGTTTCCAAAGTAGTATGTTGATTTCAGCCAACTGAGAAACTAGCCTTGTTTTTGTGGGTATTTTTTTTCTTACCACATGGAGGCAACTTAAAAATATAAATGAGATTTCTTAGAGAAGTTATTAACATTGTATTACAACATTAGTGTTTTTAAGCTAAACTGTAAAATCTGACATTAAAATAATTATTCAGACACATAGTCAACTCACTCATTTTGGACACTGTAATGGACAAACTAGCCAAGATTGCCTTAGCTATCTGCAAAACTTCCTATATTGAAGTGTTTCCTACAGTCTTTATTGTCACTGCTTTGTTCTTAACCAACTGAAGTAATAGTGTAAGTATTGTACTATGGCTGCATTTTCCACACAAAACACAAATTCTTGGATAAAGAAAAGCTCAAAACTATTCTCAGCAGTGAGAGAGGAACTAATTACTCAAGGAACATGACATTTTTATTAAGCACCATGGTCTAAGTTTCTTCAGAAACTAGCTTTAATAATTTGGTTGTGCATTGCACTGAAGGGATGAATATTATTTACTTATAAGCATGGCTTAGAGCAGAATTGCTAACACATCCTGCACACTTTCACCAGCTCTGTGCCTGATTTAGCTGCACATAATTCAGAAGAATCATCACAAAGTGATTTCCCAACTATCTACATGCCTCCAAGCACGCACAAGGGAGAACTCTACTGACCATTAAAAATGGCCTTTCATATTACAGCACACCTTTTTTTCCCTAAACTAATTCAGAAAAGCTGATGAGGATTTCCCTCTGTCCAGGAAAATTTAGCAAATTCTATATTTTCATGTACAAGATGATCAAACTGGAACTACCTTTCATAGTAATCACTGATGTCCATATGGCATTCACTTTTTATTCTCCAAGCTTGGTTAAATATTGGATAGCATTTCTGACTGCTTATGCTGACAGACAGAAAAGCAGACTTTTAGAAAAATAGTATAATTGTCAGACTTCTGAAGAGTGCAGTAAGATAAAAACAACATACTTGAATGTAAGTGTTCTTAATGGGTCGTTGATAAGACTAATATTGTTTAAATTATAATAATTTCAGGATTCCTTATAGAAATAATTCATCTTAAAGATACTTCATCAGCTTCAAACTCTTACAGGATCTTGTAACTTGCTGAATTAATATCTACAGCTATAACAGTAGAAGGGACCTTCCTCCCTGTTTTGCACTTTGTTTACTTCTGTGCACAATGAACAGGATTCACATTTACTAGAGTTCAAGAGCTTTGAGTACATACAGGTTTAGCTTCTTTAAGGCTTATGGTCAGTGAGTGATCTTCCATTACCATACTGGGAGGTTAAGCAGGAGCTTTATGTTTAAGTGACTAAAAGTATTTCTCATCTCATTGAATGTGATTGGCACTTTATAATACTTCATTAGCATAAAATTGGAATGCACTTATGCTATAATAAGAAAAAAAAATAAGATTTGTAGCAGTACAAGACTTTAGTACTCCCTTCTACAAAAGAAAATAGATCTTCAAGATTTGTACTTGATCAACAGGGTAACTAACTATATAGAAGGCAGCATAAAGAGAATAAAAGCTTGCAATAAGGCTACACATGCAGATTATGACAGGGCAATATCAAGCAATTCCCTATATAAAATGGAGGAGTAGAAAGTCCTCTTTGAATAAATAACTATCTCAGGGATTAGGAGAAGGAAGTTGTTGATCTCAGCCAAGAATGAGGAAATCAGCTGTGACTGATTAGCAAACAACTGACTGATTTATATGAACTAAATGTACTGCAGAGAGTCACTCTGGTGATTAACTAGTTTGAGGCTGCTGAACATTTAAAGGTCTTCCCTGACACTTGATAAGCTAGATAAATAGATGATTTTGTGGATTTTTCCATGTTAGATAACCAGTGATGAAAGATCTCAGACCAAAAAGTAATGGCTGGTGACAGTTGCTTCTTCACTGTATTTACAATGTAGCTGCACCCAGAACACTCTCCCTCAGAGTTACTCCCAATACTGTAAAAGGTACTTTGCTAGTAAAGGACATGGTTGCTACCTGAGCAAATTAGTAACAGCGTTTCACAAAGTTAGAAATAAATAAATCAGTACGCAGTTATTAGCGCTCATGACACCAAATAACGTGGTAACGCACAACATACAGAAAATAGGAACAAGCACAGCGAAACTGCAATCTAGACTTCCAGATTTAGCACAGCCACAAATGGAGCTCATTCTATTTCATCAATGAAGTATTTTGGGATGAACATGACAGGTGGAAGTACTTGTACTGGTTTGAGCCATCATGAACCCTTCATGTAACCAAAAGGCTGAGACCCTATTTTCTCCTTCCCTCTCACTCCCAGCCACAGGTTTTTCACCACTCATGCTTCGGACTGAGGACCGCTTCAGATCCGCATGCATGCGCATACAGAAACACAGTAAGCTGATTCAGCTCACAAATCTGACAGAAGGATGTTAATTTTTTCTGGATCAGCAGGGAAAAAACTTCCTTCTTTCAGTAATGATGTACTGCTAAATTACTAATTTGGATTGAACCGTATCATTCCATCCTAAAGGTGTACTTTCAGGAGATACTAGCTTCACTGAAGTGAACTGGGATAAAAATAAACCTCCAAAAGAGCAAATGCTTAAGCCACATTATTTCAGCAGTACAGTTTACACTATATATCCTAAAATATATTACATTGGCAGATTGGAAACAAACCATTAAGGGAAGGAGAGAGAGATTCTTAACCAGACTTTCTTGGGAAAACCAACATCTGGCAAAACTACACCTTTTGCATCCATCCTCTGCATTTTCAGATAGTAGATGACCCATTTTCTTCATGGTGGCATGCTTCGGCCCACATTAACTATTTTTTCTACTTTACACACGATCCTTCTCTTTCCAGTATCTCCTAAACTGTGACTGAGTTTTCACAGAATGGCTAAGCCACTGTAACACCACTATGCTACTCAACACTTCCCTCATCCACTTCATGGGCAAGCAGTTACATACCCCTTCACCTGAGTTTGGGGAAAAATGCTTCAGCTCCAACCAAACCACAGAAAACTATTCACATTTTTGTTGGATTAGTTTTCTCTGGTTTAGTGAGTAGAACTGGTTTATGGTAGGATCAGACAAATACAGAAAACAGCACCAGTGAGGTAACAAATGTGTGGCCAGGACAAGATAGGAACTGAATTGACCGTTTCAACAGCAGCAAGCCACCTGACCAGTTCAACCTCAAAGCAAGAAAAACAAAACCACACCCTGAGTGAGGATATAACTAACAGCTGGCTTACTATTGGCTGTGGCATTCTGCTCAACAAATGAATTTGGTTCAAGGAAAATCTTACCACCTTCTGTATTTTCTGGGTTTAAATGGTATAATCAAAGTAGCATAGCTCTCAGTAAGAGAAGCCCACCTCCTTCGTAATGAAAGCAGTATGACTGCAAGAGGAAAAGTAGTAGTAGTGAGGAATATAACCTGTATCTTTCTTAATATTTATAGTAGCAAGTAAGTTGATACAGTTAATTTTTTATTATTATTATTTTATTTTTTTTTTTTTTTAAACTAAGATCAATACAGGACTTTAACAGAGAAAGGAGATTTCTTTCCCTGCCACTCTGTTCCCTCACTGAACTGCTGATTTATAACTGCCATCTTGAACACACAGACCTCCACTTGCACTGAATGCATGGTGGCTCACTTCTCTTCTGGTCCTTTACTAGGAAAAAACAGCAACACTGTTGGCAATAAGGAAAGGAAAGAAAACATAAAAGCAAGACAACCGCAAGGATAACAATCCCAACACTGTGAGAAGGCCAAAGGAAGAAGGAACAGAGAAAAGCGAATGTAACATGGTCAGAGGCACAGTTATGGTCAGAGCAGCACTGTGCAAAATACAGTACCACACATACAACCCTATTACTGCAACAACAGTCACTAATAAACGTATCGTGTTCATTTAGAATTACAGAATACCATACATCACCATACACCATAACCATCCCCTGTTTACAGCAAGGACCCTTCAGTTGTTTTTGAAATTGGAAAAAGGGATCCATTATTAGCTGGATTTGGTCTGATGGACAAACAGGAGGATAGTTGTCAGGGGGGATAAAACACAGCTACTTCCATCTTAACACCCACAGTTTTACTTCTGTTGAAAATGACTGCTCAAAGTATAAAGAAGCCTGTTCAAATTGTGTCTTGGAGATACTTCTCTAAATACAGAACTATTTTACATTACCAGTATCCAAGATTTTTCTTAAGTAAAAGGATCAAGTAAATCTCAGCCTTGATAAATTTTACTTCAGATCACCTGACATGAATTAAGCTACACGTATAACTGGCAGACTTCTGTGATTTATCAACAAGCCACATGAGACCATAGCAAGAGACAGAGTCAGCAGTCTGCAGGAATGCCTGTGAGTAGAAAGGGAATTGGTCAAGCACATTTTTCAGACCTCTTGAAATACTTTATTTTACATATTGTGCACTTCCACGAAATACATGAAAAGCAAACGTAGCCAGAAAGGGAAGTTATTATTTTAAGGGCACAGTTCCCTTGGATACATCTGAAGATAAGTAGATGTCAAGCACTTCAGAATGAACACTGGATAGCTCAGAGGGCGCTAGGAATTCAGCGACGCATGGAGTACTGCCACCTTCTGGTCCTTTTAAGCAGTTTCATCACTTTTTGAAGCCTCACTAGTGTATATTTCTTCCTCTGTAAAACCCTACTGTCTTGAAAATTACTTCCCTTTTAACTGAGAGGTAAGGAGAAATATCTGAAAGGTTATTTAATATCCTTTATTGTACTTCTTGACTAGGTTATGTTCTTGGCTTGCAAGCAGTTTTTTATTTTTTTTATTTTTTTTTTACAATGCTGAGAATACTTTGTGTCTGTGAAATAAAAAATTAGTTTTATTCAGACTCACAACAAGGGTGCCATACATGGCAGCAATCTTCAGATACTGCTATTCTGAGCATAGTTATTAAACATGTCCTTTAAAATATGTCACATATAATCATAACCAATATCCCTGTCGCAAAACACAAGACTAGAAACCAATATCATAGTAAAATGACAACATCTAGTATGATGCAAAAGTCCAATATCCAATCATTCCGGCAGATACTTAATGTGGAGAATTGTATTCTATTCTGAAAATAGACTAATCTCACATTCCTCTAAAGTCAACAAGAATTCTGAACAGAAAAACATAGGCTGAAATTATTCAGATTTTACTTCCTACTTTCCTGCATAAATCACTGAATTTCACATAACTTCTTGTTCTATACACAAACATATGTAAGGCTTATACACAAATCTTTCTAGGTAGAAGACAAAAAAAAATCCAATTCCATATGTCCTTCTCCTCAGACTGAAGGAAGCAGGAACTGAAGTAGAATAGATAACACTATGCATTGTCAGGCAAGAGGAGAGTACAACAGCATACTTACTTACTGAGAGCAGCCCTGCAGCAAAAGACTTAGAGGTCCTGATGGATGAAAAGCTGGACATGAGCCAGCGGTGCGCACTTGTATCTTGCAAGGCCAACAGTATCCGGGATGCATCAAAAGAGGGGTGGCCAGCAGGGAGAGGAAACAGATTGCCCCCTTCTACTCTGCCTTCCGGAGGTCTCCTCTGGAGTAGTGCATCCAAGCACAGGGCCCCCAGTACAGAAAGGATTCAGTGCTGTTGGAGCAGGTCCAGAGAAGAGTCACAAAGATTATTGTGAGAATTCCTATGAGGAAAGGTTGAGAGAGCTGGGCTTGTTTAGCTTAAAGAAGAAAAGGGTCTGAGGAGACTTCATTGCGGCTTTGCGGTACCTGAAGGGAGCTTACAAGCAGGAGGGAGATCAACTTTTTACACAGTCAGATAGTGATAGGACAAGGGGGAATGGCTGTAAACTAAAAGAGGAAGGAGACTTAGCTTAGATAGTAGGCAGAATGTTTTTATTCAAAAGGTGGTGAGGCACCGGCACAGGTTGCCCACAGAGTCCGTGGGTGCCCCTGGAGGAGCTCAAAGCCAGGTTGCATGGGATCCAGGGAAGCCTGATTAATGGTTGCAACCCTGCCCATGGCAGGGGGCTGGAGCTCGATCATCTTCAAGGTCCCCTCCAACCTAAGCCCTTCTATAGTTTTATGGTATCATTTTAAATCACTCAGCACTTAAAGTCACCATTCTTCATCACAGGCATTATAACATCTTTGACAGAGAAGCTTGGGATTTTAAGACACACAAGGAGGAGATTTGGGTTCTTTTGATATCTCTTCCTCCTCCTTCATTTTTTTTTAATTATATTACATCCCTCTAGGAAAAAAAGAGACTGCTGAGGTGAGGATCCTAAAGGGTACAGGACATTTTTTCTAGTTTAGAGGCAAATATTTTGGCAAAATTTCTCCCTTTTCACAGAGGTCAAGAGGTCTGGGATTTCTATGACTATTGCATTAGACACAGTTACATTTTCAAAGCTACGCTTACGTTGGAAACACAAATCCTGTTATTGTTACAGGATTAGTGCAAATAACTTTCCAAATGCTGCTTTCAAAATGGAGCCAAGAAATATTATTTGTGTGTACTTTCTGGAATTAATGTAGGCTGTGATTACTGGCCAGTCTTACAACAGCACTGTTGAATACACATCTATTGATGTACTCTCTATAGACACTCATTCAAACCTGTCCTGTCTGGATTTCTTTAGTTGTTGAACATTTATTAACACAGAGAAACAGCAAGATGTTGGTTTCAACTTACCTCTTCCTTTGCCACTGATTAATACAACCCATATTGGTTTTGTTAACATTTCTTCCATTTGTTTCTTAGAATTAAAGCAAAAAAGAAAAAAAAGAGTCAACACAAAAAACTATATATAGTATATAGCTGTAGTATTATCTTGGTTTTACTTAGTTTCACCAGAAGCTTCAAACCTGTGCTGCACTGATGGAATCAGCTAGATTTCCTGGTGCTTGCTCTACCAATTCCCCATTTCATGCAGCCCAACCACAGTTTTTCTCCTGCTTTGAATTAAAACAGGTTTAAAATCTTTACAATCTTCTTAAATAGTTTTTGCCTGAAGCAATTATACAATTTTTCTTCTTCTGTTACTGTGTAGCATCCATCACAATCAGAGTGTTAATCTCTAACTGTAAAAAGCTTAAAATTTCCTCCATTTTTATATTAACTCTCATCCCTGAATGGGCCTCCTAAACACTGCTTTAACAATTAAAATCTTTAATAATATATAAACAAGAAATAGAGGAAAAGTATGTGTCATAAGGAAGAAAACACATAGTTTCTGTACCATGATTACACTGAGATATGACACACACACACTGCCTATCCAGGATCACCAAATCAGAAGCATCTCCATATATGTCTTGGCACAGCTGAAAAAGCTAGAAAGCCTAAAATCTAGATAGCACATTAGCAGACATTTTCAGAATTTTAGTTTTAGCATTAAGTACTTTATTTTGCATTTGGCCTATGACAATCTCCTATCTGCTCCCTGATTTGATTTTTATTTGTGGCAAATACAACTCTCGTTTTTGCTTTTTATGCAATAAATTAGGCAGCTAGTTGCCATCTGTTTCCTGTGTACAAGTAAGGAAAAAGGGCCTCTTCAGGAAAGTTATTCAGTCACTTGCGCTGAATTCCTGCCCTAAGTTGCCCTCTGGGTGGTAGGAAAGTTTTTCCTTGAAATAATCATGAGCAATTCTAGGAATTCTCCTAATACAGGCACTTGCCTCCAAGTGCTTTGAATTAGTGTGAAAAGCACACAAACCTGCAAAATAATGCCTGTCTTGCATGAGTAACCCAGCATCATCCTGTTTTGTTTTGTTTTTTAATATAAAATCAAGTAAATTATGACAGAATTTTCCCTAACATTGTCATGTTCACATCCTACATAGAAATGGCACATAGTTGATGTAGAACACCATTTACTCCACACTTCAACTTCTTCATGACTAAATTTATCACTGGCCTTAGCTTCATCTCCCTTTTTTGTCAAAAAAATAAAAAACAAAAATAAAAATCTAGATTTTAAATATAATCCAGCCAGGAAAAATAGAGATTATCTCATCATTAAGAAATGATAATTCCATTCCTCCTGTGTTGTTGTGGTATGAATATAGGCACCAGCAAAAAGTCTTACAGCCAATTGCGTAAAGTTTTTTGGAGCAACTAAACATCAAATAGTCTTCAAGAGCCCACTTACAAAATTTACACTTGAAATGCTTGTACCAATGTTGGAAGCCTTATTATTTTCAAGCAGCTGATCTATAGATCTTCCCAATCCTTAACAGTATTGGTTAAAGTACTGCATCATTCATCAGATAAGGATAGCAACTACTTAATTTAAAATGAGTCTAGGTAGTTGAAAGGAGACGGAATATTTTCTAGTATGAGCCAGAAATAACATCACTTAAAGGAAATAGAATTGCAGGGTAGTAGATAGTAAGGAGAGAAAATGCTTGCATAATGATAAGTGTGAAAAAGAACATTCAGAGCTTCCACACGAGTAATATTTTCACACAGTCTTGGCTCCAATTCAAGACTACAGACACAAACATATATGTAAAAAAAAACATACAATCCCCTCCTGGTATGCAATTTAAAACACAAATAAAAAATCCTTGAATATTAATCTAATACTTACAGGCTACTTACTATGAAAGTTCACTATTATATAATACAAAAAAACAATAATATTTTGCTGTACTGTAGAAATATATTTGGTCTGACAATGCATAGAAAAACCATAAACTAGAATCATATGTCTCATTCAGTAAGAAATAGAAAATCCTAACAATTTTAATTCTTAAGGATGAGGCAATAATTTTGTTCCCACTCTTACAAGATGAACGCATGTAAACGCCTGCAGGTAGTATGAAAAAACTCTTTGTAGGAACGTTCACATGACAAGATTGTCAGCATAGCCATGAACTTAAAAGAACAACAGCCTTAATAAGTACACGGATAAAGGAGGTTTTATAATGAAGGAGAGAATAAGAGTCTGTGGTAAGTAGACTCCACAGAACCTGGAATAAAATCAAGGACCTTAAATTGAAAAAAATGCTTCAAACTGACACTGAACAAAAAAGTACCCTTCAGAGTTGTTTCAATCTAACATCACAATTTTTAAGGTTTCACTTTATGTTCATATAACGCTGTAACACAATGGAAAATACAGCAATTACAGTAGAATTACAAAGTCCTACGCTGCAGCAAGTGAGAACATACTCAAATACAGCCATAAACACAAAACCAAAGGACACACACACACCTACTTACCTTAAATGAGGTCTGGCAAGGGGTGCATCCTGGCTCCAGGCCTTCTGCTCACTCAGGTACATTGCATGCACCTGAGCTGCCCTGGGTTGGCCCTGCCTTCCCACCAGGTACTCAATCACTGCTTTAGGCCGTGACTTAGCAGTTCCACTATAGTTTGCAAATCATTTTTACCTTTAAAAAAAAAAAAAAAAAAAAAAAGAGTAAAACCCCCAAAGATTAAGCAGGTATTCTGAGGTATTCTGACACTGCTGTTTCTATTTTAGCTCTAATGCATAACAGACCATAACAGAATTAGTTTGCTACAACTTACTGACATCCACAAACACATTACAGCTGTCTACCTATATAAATACCATGACCAATAGATGAATGTTTTGGGATGAGATGTCAGTGTGTTTTGCAGCTAAACCATGCATCTGTATAGCTTGGCCTAACAAAGAACTCTTTCAAGTGTGTAACAGCAATCATAAGACTTCTGGAAGGGAATGGACTCAGGCATGTTAAAACAGCTTTGCTCTTTCTCCATAGAGTTATTATGGTATGTACTACTGCAATGTACAGAAGAGCCTGTGTAGGGTAAGCAAGAGCTACCTGCACGTTATCAGTCATGGCTTTGAGAACCACTAATGTGGCAAGTTGGAAGGAGTGAAGAGGAAAATATATTTCCAAAGAGCAAAGACAGAAAAAAAGTGAAGTTTTCAGTCTAAGTAAAGTCTAGAAGAATATTTTCCCTTTGTTTTAAACAGTTCCTTTGCTCCTTTTCAAAATGCTAAGACAGGCATAAGAAGTTTAGGTTTTAGTTTAAACTCAGTCTACAAACAAGAGGAAAACGCTTTTTGTCTTGTTTGCATGGGGATCAGAGCCACAGTGACTACAAGCATGCATTAACCATGAAATAGCCTTCGTAATGATTCTAAAAACAATATTAATCATTACATTTCTTTTTTTTTCTTTTCCTTCTACGATCATTTTTAGGCATAAACTTTTATCGTTGCTGTCTTTATCTTTCATCATCATTCTGTATTTGGGATAACCTTTGAAAATTTCAACCAAACAAACAAGTTTTTGTTTAGCTCCAGTAGGTCCAAGTTTCACAGTGTTAGAGCCTATAACATTATTATGGACTTAGAAAAAAACACATGAGCTTTTTCTGTTACTCCCAACTTATATTAATTAATGCCTCGTTACATAAATAGTCCCATATGTTGAAAAGGTAAGTAAAGAAGAATCAGGCTAATGGCCTGCTGAAAAAACTATACATTTATAAATTTACTTATTTATTTAAAAAAAGATTGTCAGGCAAAATAATGCAGTCAGACTCAAACTAGTATTCATCACTAAAATCATTGTGTTTGGTACACTGATTTCCAGACCAACAGAGATGTTAGTTTAAAAAAAACCACACAGCATACCCCATTATGTATCTGTAAACAATGCCATGGAACTTTTATATTTTCTAGGCTGGGGAGCAATAAACACTCAAATACTGCTTTACTTACAGTGAAAATGCAGCCCTCTTTATGAAAAGGTATAGCAGCAGATGAGAAAGCACAACAGAATGTGAAGAGGAATACTCTCCAATTAAAAGTGAAGAGTATTATGAGACTGATTCAGTTAGAATTAGGTCGAGATGGGAGAACTCAGGCATCATCTAATAGACAAAACTTCCCATTCTGATGAGAGTGAGCACATTTAAGCTTTCTGCTCCTTGCTGTGTCACTCCTTAGGGTGTACAGACCAGCAAAAGGAAAATATCAAGCAAAAAAGCTACACTAATTAAGAATAAAGATCACTTTTCTAGATAGATTGTAATTTTAACAATATACACCAATTGTTCTAATTGTTCTAAGTTAGTAATCCATATTCTTTCAGATATTTCAGTAATCAGAAATGAACCAATTTTGCATTAGAAGACTTCTATATGGTGGGAGCATACTTTTCATACCTCTCCTACATCATCCAGAACAGATCTGTTGGAGTTCAGTACACGCCAACAGCTTTTAAGACGGGGGTGCCTTCTATCAATTGTTCAGATTCACTTCAGCTCAGAGTGTGGCAATAAGGCCAAAAGAAGTTTAGAATTTATTACAGAAAAAAGATTGCTGTTGAGGGACCGGTCTGGCATTGAGCCCTGGAGAGCCGAAAGCAGCTCCCCTCAACTGCTGGTGTACACAATCTCCATTGTTCTCTCAGGTTTCACAGCTGCAAAGGTTGTTTCCTCTTCCAGAAAGCAGCTCTCCTCTCTGCAAAGCTGCACAGCAGCTCCATGACAGGAAGCTTTTTTTTTCATTTCTTTGGCGGGGTGGGGACTGACCTTGTTCACTCTTCATTGCTTATATCACCCAGCCCAATTAATTTAACATTCCATGACTCAAGCAGCTCAGTGGATCTCAGGTAGCTGGGGCTTGATAATGCATTTCCTCTGTGCTAGTCTTGACACAAATGATGTGAGAGATGTCTTTTAAATTCTTTAATCTTTTTATATTTAATAAAAATAAAGCAATGAAATGGTTAGAAGGTAGGCCAAGAATATATGAATGAAATATGTTAAAGCCTGTTTAACTGATTAACTGTGTTTCTTGGAGACACTCTTGCCTACATTTGCTATTTATTCCAAACAGTTCTTATCTAGGAGGAACCTTTAGATAACAGGTTTTTTTTCATGGAGGGACCTTAGGCCAGACGTCCTTCCAAATCCGTTAGCAATGCAATCCCTGTGTGCACCGGTATTCCCTCAAACTGCACAGCAGGAATCTCCTGCAGTCCCCAAGTGACGTAGGTCTGAAAGGCGGGATATTTGTGACACAGGGAAACTGTGTTCTGAGCTAATCTCTAGAGTTTATAAAGGGATGCCATAAACCTTGCCATAAAATGGAACCTGCAGACACGGTTTCCTAACACCCTGCTATGGCATAGTGCCATCCCGTGAGCACCAGTGGTTTCTAGCAGAAAGTAGAGGGGGCAAAGGGAATGGAAATGAAATGAGAACAGGTTGTTTCAGAAAAGAAGTGAAACCCCGTTTCATCTGCTATGTTCCTGACGTAGTAGAATATTCAAAGCAACTTACCTGTTTACTTAATTACCACCTCACGTTATTGCTTTCCTGTTCTTTTCAGACAACGTGTGTTAAATCTAGACATGACCACTCCAGAAATCTTAAACATAAAAAATAATTAAAAATTTGGATCTAAATACAACACCTGACTACACATAACTCTAACAAAAAGAGTAAAAAATAAATAATTTTTTAAAAATCTAATGTTAATAGAATGTCTTGATTTACTCACAAATCATCTCTATGAGCAAGGTATTAGAAAAGAAGAACAAGAAAATAACATTTGTTTTACTTGACAAATCTGCCTGTCTGAGAAAGGCTTTTTTTTCCTTATGAAGTGATTTCACAGAGTGGTTTCATGTTATTTCCATATAGTCCTATTCTGCTTCAATAGGAAGTGAAATAACGTTGATCTATAATGATTTGGAATCAGAATTGCAGTGGAAAGCTAATCTGTTGTGCTTCTGAATGCTTTGGCTATTTTTTTTTTTTTGGCATAAGCATAATTTTATCAATCCAGTATGATTAGTTACCATACATTCCCAAATAAAGGCATCACTAAACAGCAACTGCTGAAGTCTGAATCTAATTTTTTGCAATAAAGGAGTAACAAAATATTATCCAGATTACCAACTACTCCGTTCTCCAAGACAGATCACAATCTCCATGTCTGCTTTGGTTAAACATTTTTGGACATGACTGGAAAATCTTTCGCTAAAGAAAAAGTGTCTGCCTATATTAGATTAGGATTTGGCAGCAAACTCTGAAATATTATAGTCTGTCATATCATATGGCACTAGGGATTAAGACTTTTCACATTCCTTTAGTTACACATGCTAGCAGAACTCAGCACAAATTCTCACATCCAAAGGAAAAATGGTTCATTTATAGTTTCTGTCTGAAGCTGAGCACAAAAAATTCTGGCATTTTATTTTAAGGAAAAAATCCCTCAGTTTTTACAGTACAAAAAATAACTTGGCCTACTTCCATCCAGGATTTATGTGTTGCAATAAAATCAACTTCTTGAGATAGGGTGCCCACATTCCCCATAAAATGCAGGAAATTTAGGTATTCAAACCAGCGAATTTAATGGACTGCCTCCTAGACAGCACTAAGTGATGTCAAAACAAAACAAAAAACAAACAAACAGAACAAAAGGATCTAATTTTTGCCACCCATAAGCACTTAGGGGTTTATCCTCATTCAAAGTTCTCAGCTACCAACTCCCTTCCTTCTAGTGCTGGTGTCTCCATCTCATCAGCTCCTTCTAATGAAAAACAAAACAAAATTCACAACATTCCCCAGTTTGCAATCTTTAGAAACTACAGAGTTGAAGTGTTTACTTTTTTAGGGAAAGATGCATATTCTAATTCCTCCTCTGAATAAATGATAGATTTTCTTCCAGGCAAAAATTGAAAATATTTTATGAAGATCTGTATTACTAAATATCATCCTAGCATGTACAGAATGAAATACTTTATACAGATAGATGTCTTTATTGCACTCTACAATGCAATTGACTGTGCATTCTCGGAAATGGATGCAATCCCACAAATATTAATATAATTTTTTTTTAAAGCAAGCTGGTGGGGAAAAAAAAAGCCCCAAGAGAGATGAACCAAAGCGTTTGAAGGAATCTGTTATCCAGTTCTTGCATATTTAGGCAGCGCCCAGTGATGGGTTTGTAGTTTATCTCCAATGCCACGTGTAACCACCAATGTTAAGCACCATATGGAAGTAAAGCCACATATTTAATCCATTTTTTAATAACTCTGGAAAGGAACATCAAATCTGTGTTTTGTAGGGGTTTTTTTCCTTTTCTCTTTCCTCTTCTTCTTTTTTTTTTTTTTAATCAGTAACATATCTGGGATAGAACTGATTTATTTTTATTTTTCTATGCTGTGAGTTATTACTCTAGATTTCTAAAGGGAATGAACAGGTTCGATATTGCTCTAAGAACCCACCTGCATTTAGAATAAGAAATTTTATAGAGCTATGAGATATTGTCCAGAGTACAAATGGAAAAATTAAGAGTTATATCCCATCTGAGTCTGAAATGAATATATTTGAACCTTCTTTTTCACTTCTGAGCACATGGAATATGTTTAATATAATT